CGAAAGGGAGGTGCCACGCTTCCTTTTCCAATAGGTCCAATTTTTCTCTAAGAGAATGCGATCGATTTCATTTGCGCCAATACCAAGTTCCAGTACTCTACGATGAACACTTTCAGACATATGCAGTTTGAAAAATTCGGTTTGCATGGGAGGTGCCATGCCCCTCTTTTCCAATAGCTCAAATTTTATTCCAAGAGTATGCGATGGATTTCATATACCTCCATACCAAGTTCCAGAACTCTACCATGAACAATTCCAGAGATATGGAGTATGAAATATTCGGTTTGTATGAGAGGTTCCACGCCCCTTTTATATATCGAGATTTTTGTTAGCCTGCAGCAGGTGTCCGAAATTTCAAAAAAAATCGGTTCATCCGTTCTCGAGCTTTGCGATATACATATACTACGTTTATGCGTAGGCTAATTCACGAATTCATTTCATGAATTTGGGTTAAAATTGGCTGCATAAACACCAATTCATGAATTCAGTTATACACGAAAGTTGACCATGAATTCGGCATGATTTCATGAAATCGTGAAGTGCAAGTCCGGCAACGCCACGTTTCACAAACAGCTGTTTACTAGGGTTATGATGTTTTTAGATTAATAACCATGAGTGGCATAACCGGGATTTTAAACACTGAAAAAGTTATGTGGAATTTTTCAAATATAAAATAAATTCAAATAGAATAAACTGAAAATATATTAAAACCAATTTAAATAAAATAAGGTTCATTGCCTGGTACCAACGGCTTTTGCAAATTCAAAAGGAGGCAAAAAAATCACAACTCTACTGTTTACTTCCTCGCCAGTGCGTTGCCATTTTTTCAAATAACTTTATTTCATGAATTCGCGAACTATGCATAAACGGGACCATTTTTGAATTCATGAAATGAAGAATTCATGAATTCCGTCGCATAAACGTAGTAATAGATGGATAAGAGTTGCTGCTTTTAATATTGCGCTCACTTATGTACGTACAAAAAAACATACGAGAACGCTTTTTATGCGTAATTATATACGTACATATGTATGTACATAAATATGCATATACAAATGTAAGTGCTAACAGCAACGTTATGCTGCATTTACATGAGGCGATTTTCTAGGCGATTCAACATTGCTCAAGAAAAATCGCTCGTGTAAATGGTGACTCAAAAATCGCTTGCCTCAATAGAGAGCAAGTCAACTTTTGCAGGCGATTATTGCCTGTCAAAAAATCGCCTCATGTAAAGGCAGCTTTAGTTGCACCTTGTGGCAACATTAACGACTCTACATACATAATTGCCTATATTATTTCTCCATGAACTGTACATACATATTTGTTTTTTTAACATAAGAATCAACATTAACGTTAACATAAGCACGCATGTATATGTATACATAACCCTTGCTTTGCGATATATTCCGTACGAATTAACAGCAGAGGGCGCTCTCAGCGTTGAGCAGCGCTGTTATGTGGGCATGTATGTTAGATTCCGTAGGATTTTTAAAGTCGTGCAGTTCCATTTTTAGGAAGTATTTTAACTTTTTTTTTGCCTAAGACAATGAGAAGCCCATCCAGAACCTATAACCGAAATTTAAAAAAAAAAAAATCGGTACATATATATATATATATGTATATATCGGTAATATATTAGTACAGGTATAAATTTTATTAGAAATGTTAAAATATACTTATGTTACCGCATAGTTTTGGACCACATTAGCAGATTTTGATAATTCTTATTCTATCGGAAAGGCGGTGCCTCAGGGGTGGTACCATACTAATTTGGTTTACATCCGATCATTGGATCATGAAGAAATTAACGGTACTTCTAAATTTTTATACGAGAATTGAAGTGGGTTGTGCTTTTTGCTTAAATATTACTTGTTATTGTAACTATTGAGTTGTACCGAGCCCTCAAACGTATTTATATTGCATGAAGTTTATTATAAACTTATTGCAGAGTTAAAATAAAAATTTGTTAGTTACCTTAATTACGTGCAAATCTTAAAATGTGACTTCGTCTTTACACCAAAATCATAATTTGTTCATTATTTTTAACCGACTTCAACAAAAGTAGGAGGTTATCTATTCGTCGGAATATATTTTTTATGTAGGTATGTTACCGCATAACCGATTTCTATAATCCTTTTTTTTTAAGGAAAGGTTTATATCCGATTAATGGATCATGAAGAAATTACCGGTAATCTTAAAGTTTTACATGAGAATTGAAGTCGAATTTGTTTTTTTGCAAAAATTACTTGTTTATTTAAACAACAGTCTTCGAGGGGTTTCTGCAAATCGATAAATTGTTTAAGTGATGATTCCAGTTTTATTTTTTTCTACAAAACCTCTGTGAACGCTAAGCATACACTCTAAAAAATTTGTGTTTAAATAGAACAAATTTCAAATTTGTTTGTTGAATTCTAAACAATTAATGGTCATAATTTCACAGTTTACACAAAAAATGTTTAAAATTTGCTCTAAAAAATGTTTGTTTAAATTTACGCATAATAAGAGAGGTAACCAGTTTCCTCTCCTAATGTGTGCAAATTTACACACCGTGTAATAAAATTTAACACTGCCTGTTTACTTTTACATACCAAATTTTTCGCGTAGAGCAAAATTAAACATAAAGTGTTTAAAATGGAGTAAATATGAGCACTTAATGTTTATTATTAGTAGGAAATATATTTTTATATTTCAAAATCTTTGCAATTTTAAATATTTTATGTGTACATTTTAAACATCTCATGTTCAAAATCTAATCTTGAACATCTTATGCGTATATTCACACAGATTCTGGTTGAAAAATAGACACTTTTCAGTAGCAGTTTTACATGCACTTTTTAGAGTGTACATAACTAAATTACAAGTACAAACTAAGTAGAAAATATTAAAAGGTAATAATTATTTTATAATTTTTTTGAAGTAATTGTTTCAATACAAACTATAAAAGGTATTAAAATTGCTGGGGTTCCTTGTGGAACTAAATGAGCAAATATATATTGAGTATTATTAATTCATCCATAAATTATAAAACATAATCATAAAGGTAACGCTATAGTTAAAGTTAATTTTAAATGACTTGTTCTTGTAAAAATATAAGGAAATAATCCTATGAAATTATTAAATAAAATTAATGAAAATAATGATACAATAATAAAAGTTGATCCTGAATGACTTGATGGCCCTAGTAATGTTTTGAATTCTTTATGTAGTGTTAATAAAATTGAATTTCAGAATACATGATAACGTGAGGGTATAAGTCAATATACTGATGGAATTATTAATAATCCTAAAAATGTTCTTATTTAATTTAATGATAAATTAAAAATTCTCGATGAAGGGTCAAATACTGAAAATAGGTTAGTTATCATTTTCAATTTAATGATTTAGTTGATTTTTGTGAAAGCTGAGATTTAGGGGATTTAGGAATTATTGAGTAATAATTTATTATTCTAAATAAAATAAAAGTAATTGAAAAAATAATAAATAAGCTTAATCAACCAAGAGGGGCTATTTGTGGAATTAAAAAATATTAAATATTTTAATAATTTTAGTTTGACATACTAATGTTATATTTTAACTAATTTTTTCATTAGAAGTAAGTGCTAATTTACTATTAAGTGGTTTAAGAGACNACTAGAAGTAAGAATTGTTGAACGTCAGATTATCTTATCTACTAATAAATATAACAGAATGTTTATAGATCTATGAATCTTAGGGTTTTTTTTATTAGAATATAGATACTTATTAATTAATTAAATATTTATATACATATATTAATCTATTTATAATAGAAATATATATATTAATTAAATATTTATATACATATATATATAATATAGAAACGGAATATATATATTATATATTAATAAATTAAATATTTATATGTATATATATAATATATATAAAAGTTATTTCTCAATAATATATATATAAATATGTAGTTATCAGTATATTTAGTATTTAGAAAAATAATATTTATTAAATATACATANTTAATATATTTATATATATATGGAAATATTTTATATAAGATATTTATATATATAAACAATTAAATATTTATGTTTACATATATGTAAATATAAATATTTATATGTATATATATATACATATAAACATATTTATATTTATATATATATGAATATAGATAGAAAAATTAAAAATTTAAATTTTAATATTTATATAAATTAAAAAAATTCAATTAATATTAATCTATAAATTTTATAAAATTTAAAAAATAAATAAATTTTATAAATTTAATAAATTAAAATAAATATTTTTCTTAAATTTTATGAAATAAAAAAAAATTATAAATTTAATCAATTATATAAATTTAATAAATTAAAATAAATATTTTTATTTAAATAATGAAATTTTTCAAAAAATAAATTTTATAAATTAAAATAAATATTTTTATTAAGTTTATGAAATTAGTTGTTTAATTACTAATAAATTTTATTTAAATGTAAATAAATTTTTATACAATATTACTAAAATTTTATTATTTAAATAAAAAAATATTATAGATTGTAATTTATTATTAGTTATTTATTAATAAAAATAAATAAAATAAAATTTTTTATTTTGTTTTTGTTAGTATAAATAAATATGATAGGGGGTCTCTTTATTTGTAGGGAGGAAATACTAATTAATTTTATTTAAATAAAAACTAATTTTTATACAATATTACTAAAGTGTTGTTATTTAAATAGTGATATATTTTAAAGTATAATTTATTACTAATTATTTTATAAATAAATATAAATAAAATAACATTTTTTTTTAAAAAGATAATTTTTATTTTGTTTTTGTTAGTATAAATAAACATGATAGGTGGTCTGTTTATTTGTAGGGAGGAATTACTAATTGATTTTATTTAAATATAAATTAATTTTTATACAGTATTACTTAAATTTTATTATTATTAATATTAATTGAATTAATAAAATTTTATATTTAAATTAATTTTATATAATATTAAAGTTTTATTTTAGCTTAAAATTTTATTATTGATTTATTTTATATTTAAGTTTTTGCATGAATTTTTATTTATTTAAATAATAAATAAATTTTATTATAGTCTCAGTAATTAGTTTTATTAATCAAAGAAATTTGTAAATAGTAATTTCATATAGTATTGGCTAAATTTGTGCCTGCAGCCGCGGTTATACAAATAATACAAATAAAATTAGTTCAGTGTAAGTTAAATTTTATATAAATAAAATAATTATGAATTTATTAGGTGAGATTTTAAATTTATAAATTTTTATTTTAGATAAATTAAAGCTTATAAATTTTGTAAATAAACTAGGATTAGATACCNTTATATTGTACATATAATTTTATTTGATAAGTTTATATAAAGAACTCGGCAAATTTATATACTCGCCTGTTTAACAAAAACATGTCTTTTTGAGTTATTTTTAAAGTCTGACCTGCCCACTGAATAATTTTGAATGGCCGCAGTATTTTAACTGTGCAAAGGTAGCATAATCATTAGTCTTTTAATTGAAGGCTGGTATGAATGGTTGGACGAAGTATAATCTGTTTCATAAAAATTTATTGTAGAATTTTATATTTTAGTCAAAAAGCTAAAATTTAATTAAAAGACGAGAAGACCCTATAAATCTTTATATTTAATATAATTTTAATTTTTTTGATGTATTTTATTTTAATTTTATTAATTATTTTGTTGGGGTGATGTTAAAATTTAATGAACTTTTAATTATTAAAAATCATTAATTTATGATTTATTGATCCGTTAATAACGATTATAAGATTAAGTTACTTTAGGGATAACAGCGTAATTTTTTTGGAGAGTTCTTATCGATAAAAAAGTTTGCGACCTCGATGTTGGATTAAGATATATTTTTAGGTGTAGCCGCTTAAATATTGAGTCTGTTCGACTTTTAAATTCTTACATGATCTGAGTTCAGACCGGCGTAAGCCAGGTTGGTTTCTATCTTTAATATATTATAATATCTTAGTACGAAAGGACCAGGTATTAGAATAATTATATTTTAGTTAAAGAATATAATTAATTGTACTGTTTTGGCAGATTAGTGCAATAAATTTAGAATTTATTTATGTTATTTTTATTATTTTGGGATTAATACGAATTCCTCAACCTATATGTGATGCAATTAAGTTATTTACTAAAGAACAAACTTACCCTCTTTTATCAAATTATTTATCTTATTATTTTTGAGTAAAAATCATTAAATTTTTTGTTACAATATTTTTTGTATAGGAAAAACGCACCAATCAGCTTTTTATAAACATAGTACGGTGTAACACTGATTATGAACTTTTTAAGTGACCTGTAGGTCGTAGGGCTGGTCGAGTAATTCACGAAACTGGATTGGAAATTTTTGTAACACCCTCAAATTCTCGACTTATTCTCAACCCTTCGGGCGCCGGGGCAAATTAACCGCAAAAATTTTAATTTGTGGTTTTCAAATACTAATTGTAGTAGCCGGCCACTGCCACTTAGTGACTTTGGAAGTTTCGAGATGCAGCATGGTTCACAGTTAGCTGTTACTTGCTGCGTTATATCGTTCAGTTGATATTTGTATTTGAAAGTTGGTGTCTCATATATGCGGCCGAATTGCCGCGTCGCTCCCTTCCGTGTACTAAAAAAATTTGAACGTAACTCGCAAATTTTTTTTAAGATAGTTGGAAAAGTGTGTTTATGATAAGGGTCTAAAACAAAATTGTTATTTTTTGAATATTGTGTCATGTTTACTTTTAAAATTATACTTTGCGCATAGTTTGCGTACACATTGTAACTATTATGATATTCATTTACTTAGGTTTTAGGAAAAGAAGGATGTTTTTAAATGACGTATTTTGGAACGAATTTCCCTCATCCCTAGGGATGCAAACGATGCATCGATATTTTTGAAACATCGATAATATCGGTTCAAAATTCGATGTTTGCCATCGATGTTTACAATTTCCTAAAATCGCTAAATTGACGATACATCGATGCCAGTTTCAGCGATGTTTTAACATCGACTTTAGTGTGATGATTTAGTGAATTCAACTTACCCATTATGCTCCTAAAATTTTTTGACTGCCCATGAATTTTATTACTTATTCTTTTGGGGAAAATTCAGAAATTCCGTGTATACTCTTATCTTTCGATATTAAAAATGCGTACATAATCACTAAAAAGGGACCGGGTTCCCGTTGAAATATCAACGAATCTGGGGCTTGGAACTTTAGGCTCGGCGAACTTACGACGGCATGCATTTTTATTATATTTATAGGAAGGGCAAAGGAATATTAAAGAAATACAGGGAAATACATCCATATGTAAGTATTTTTCTAATTGAATTACAAAGAGTATGAATTGAAAAGTATTAAATTTTCCTTTCAATGTGACTACAACCTAACAAATTTGGAAACATCGAAAACCATCGATATATCGATGATTTTGTGGCGATATATTTTAGCATCGATGTTCATTTGTCCGATGCATCGAAACATCGATGTATCGATGTTACTCCCCAAAATTTGCATCCCTAGTCATCCCTTGTCAAGTTTGGTTCGGAGACAAACCGGTTTCGGCGTTGTGCCATCCAGTGTCATTTTTCGTTCTCTCGGAAACAACAATAACAAAAAAGGAGATGTTTTTAAACTTATATAGAAGCGAACCAGCTACGCAACAGAAATTGAAACCAGGAATATGTCCAGGAATAATAAGACAAAAATTTGTTGTATTAATTGTAACAAAATGTTTACAGAGAACACTGCAAGCATATTTCACAATGTGTAGAATGAACCAACACCACTATCGATGATGACGCATAAAAATTTAAAAAATAAATGCTTATAATATGTTTCAGTATAAACATAAATTATTCAAATGTTTTATTTGAATGATTTTTCGACATAACTTAAAAAAAAAATGCAGTCAACCTTTGAAATACACCTTGCGGCTAAATTGCCGCGGCGCGCCCTCTCGTGTAATTTTCAAAGCGCGCCCTCCGAAGGGTTAAAAAGCTTTTAGCTGTGTTATTTTTTACCCATTTTTAAGTTTTTGGATGGCTTTGAAAAGGCGAATATTTATACTATTTAAAGAAGTAATAAGTTTTATGAGCGCATTGTAAATATGCGGAAATATTTTGGAATAAACCTAAAAATTACAAAAATTTTGTTAATTTTTTCCACTTATACAACTTTTTTTGCCAAAATTTCAAATTTCAGTCTCATTTAGTTACTACTTCGAAAATAATGTTTTATTCCGAGTAATACTAGGCACCATTTAAAAAAATCAATAGACAATTTCGCAAGATGTGATTTTTCTAAAGATTTTTCCAAAATTTCTTCCATGTAATTTCAGAGAAAATTTTAATCATCTAGAAAAATGTGAATTTGTCTCTATAAAAGGTGTCATAACTTTATAATTTTTTTATTGATTTCAATGAATGGTACCTGGTTTTTCATAGAATTAAACATTTTTTCCGAAGTAATGACTAAAAGAGACTATTTTCTTTTGAAATTTTTTTTGAGAAAGTGGTAGAAGTGGGTAAAATAATAAAAATTGGTATAAATTTCAGATTTATTCCAAAAATGTTCCACATATTTACAATGTGCTCGCAAAACTTCTTATATCTTTAAATAGTACTAATATGCTTCTTTCTAAAGCCATATAAAAACTTAAAATTGGTTAAAAAATAACCGCGCTAAAAAATTTTTAGTGCTGCAAGTCATGTGAAAATGGGTTTCTAAGGATAAGTTGAGAATTTGAGGGTGTTATTAAAATTTTAAAAACAGTTTTGTGAATTACTCGGCCAGCCATACGACCTGTTCAAAAGTGCGTGGAATTTTTTATTTTGTATCACCGTGTAATTTATCAGACTAACACAAGAAAGCTGAAAAGGACGTTCACAGTTGATAATATTATCACGTAGCAACCAGCAGTTTACCAAAACTACCGAAATGGATGTGAACTCCCCTAAAGTTTTTATTTATTGCCACATTTGTTAATTTTTTGCCAAAATCACCTCAAAAAGGTACCAAATTCAACAAAAAAGTACCAAACTTATTTTAAACTAAACTAAAATTTCGGAGCACTCTAAAATCCACATTTGTCCAGTTGTGACCAATATACACAGATACATATGTCAACAAGTAGCCGAAAATATCTCAAAAATTCAATGCTTGAAGACAATCCTGAAAGCTTTCGAGTCAGTCATAAACAAAGGGAAGTCCCCTACTGAATGCCGTAGCTTTTTGAACGTAGCAACTGCAAAGCTGTCAAGGAAGGACTGGAGAAGGACTCGGTAGACATAACAATAGCCACTATCAAGCAGTTTCTTGTAGATCACACAATTAGAGTAACCTAGGAACGCCGAAGAACTGTTCGCCTTGCGAAACTTTCGGGATTACCTGGTATTTCTGTGAAAGGAAACGCTTACAGCCCACTTCCGAATGTGAAACCAGAACTTGTTTTGACCTACGTTACATACAGAACTGAAGCGCAAAAGTTACCAAGTGGAAAAATAAGTTACCAAATTACCAAATATGATAAATAAAGAAAAAAATTACCAAAGCGGCAACCCTGCATGTGTTACATATGCACATACATCTGTGGTCATAAGCAATAACCGCCTAAGTCGACTTAAGAAGGAATTGAGTTATATATGCTATCGTATTCTGCAACTACTATTCCATATGTATGTGAAATCCCCCATCTCGCCATCTAGGCTATTTAAAAAGTTATAGACGAACACATTTTGGTTCCCCCATAAGGTTAACATTACAATCCAAATGTTTAAAACTATTTTTCTCGAATTCAGGGTTTTCGACTTAGGCGGTTATTGCTTATGACCACAGACATATATACAGTACATACCACTTTTACCGCATATTCCTGCGACTGCTTTCCATGCTTTCTCTTTGTTTGCGCGATTAAAATAAAAGGTACCCCTTTTATCAAATAAACATTTTCTTTTTTCCACATGCTGAATTAAAATTTCTATAAAACTTTCGTCTTCCATTCTGAAATAATTTTATTTTTTGCAAACAGCTGATTCCGTACCGAAGGTGCGACCAGTAACGCTCTTTCCTTAAGCAAATGACGTTTGACGAAGCTTGATGTAAAGTACATTATAGTTTCAGAACAGGAGTTGTGTGTATTCGGACGTTTGCATACGTTTCCTTATTCATATTATAGTCAGCCCTTATGTCAGACTGATTCTTGGTTGAATCTCGTTTTTTTGTTCGGCAATATAACGTGTGAGCATATAGGCGTAAAAAGCGTACAGTTGAGCTGTAGCGTGATATGAAATGCCCATTGAGGGTTGCCACTGATGAAAAAAAACTTACCATCTACTTGGAAAAAAATTTACCAAATCTAGAAAATATCTACCAATAACTTGTTTCGTTATTTTAATAAAAACTATAGTTTTATTCTAGTTTTTTAGTATTTCAATGTGCAGCAAAAAATTCCCGTTGATTTTTTTAAATTTCTTTTGACGCCGGTCTTTTGCTTTTCTTTTGTTTCATTTAACAATTTCCATTGATAAAAAATGGCGTTGATTTTGGAATTTTTTGCCAACAATTATTGTGTGTAATTACATACCTGACCATTTTTTCTTTTTATTTAAATAATCATTAAAAAATATTTAGGCAATGAAAAGCTCCTCAGGATCCAAGTAAAATGAGTTTTGAGTGGAGAACGATACGTTCGCCTTTTATCGATATACATTTATATGTGCATTTGTATATAAGGTGTGCATTAAAGCGTTCGAAATTAACGCAGTAAAGTAGACTACACTTTTGGAAAGAAATTTATAACATAAAGATAACTACGAAAAATAAAGCGGGCTCTAAAAGTTTTAATTATTTTTCAAACAAAATAATTCAACAAAAATCTACCAAAATGATAAAAAATTTACCTTTTTACCAACCCAAATTTTTTCTACCAAATTTAGTAACAATTTACCAAAGTGGCAACCCTGCGCCCATTACTGATATAAAGGTTATACGTTTTATTATTCATTGTAAAAATAAAGAAAATATTATAAATAAATAGCGATTTACGAGAGCCCCGAAACTAAAAATTTATTGTAAGAGACCTTGGATACGGCGAGTATACCCCAACTTTGTAGAAGAAGCCCCGGGGCGGCAAAAACGCTTCTTTACAATTGGCGCCCGAGCAGATACCCTGCAAATCGTTCAAAACAACAAAGGAAAATATCTAACGATATATTAGTTGTGTTTAATGAGCTGCTCTAGGCTACGTCAGGTTAAGATATATCACAAAATTGTGTTTCATGAGGATTTTTCTTGCTCTAACTTGTTCTAAGTGGAGACAGAGCAACTAGAGCACGATTTTCTGCACACACTTTACATTTACGAATTGAACTGTCGAGCAATCAACTGTTCTGATAATTTCTGCATGAAAAGTGTTTCATTAGATTTCTGATCTGCTTTCTTTTGCGTGCGACAACATCGCCAAAGAGCAGCTGGTGCCCATCGCACCCATCATCGACCAGGTACGGAAGTGGTTAGTGGTTTACGACGGTGGAAGAGACCCGCTAACATTTGTGGAACGATTGGAGCAGTTGACCGAGATATACACCTTGAATATAGACCTCCTTCCAAAAATAATGCCCGAGCCGCTACGCGACAATGCCTTTGAATGGTACCGCAACATCGTCTTTTATTAGCTCAACGCGATTTCAAATGCTACCGATTCATATACATAATCTGAAATTGACTTTTGCTAAATAACAAAGTGATAGTGACACTAGTTAAAGCAAATTAAATAAAATTAAAATATACTTTAACTAGGACGAAAACGGTGAAAGTGAAGAGAATAGTGATAGCGAGCATGCCTGAGGTCAATAAGATCAAAGCTGTAGCTGCAGACGTGAAAAAGCATAGCAAAGACCTATGCGAAGCTATGGTACGCACGGTTGCCATTTCCAATTTATTTTTCGGACCAAAAAATGGACCAAATTGTAAAAAATGGACCAACATCGGGAAATTTAGTGGAGTTTATTCATCTTTGTCAAGAAAATATGCCAATTCAGTTTTTGTAACGATTTTTTTTACATTGCATCAAAGTGCATTGCAATTTTATATTATAAACATTATATTATTTAAAATTTTAAATTATAATTTGTTTCTTAATTTTGTTTTTATTAATGCTAAATCAGAAAATTTGCGCTCAGCTGCTGCGGAACTACGAGGCAGACTAAAAATGTCATGAACTAAAACACAATTCTCCAAAGGCCGCTTCACCCAATACCTTTTTAATCAAACTTACTTGATCCCAAAAACGTTATATATTGGTACAGTTTTTGAAGTTACCTTCTCAGCCTCAATTTGCGAAATTGGAATTCAATTTTGTCTGCATCATTTACCATTGCAGGAAATTTTTCGAGTAGCGGCAAAATTGATACATCAGTATCAGAAAGTACTTTATGTGGTGTAATAATTTCAAGATGTTTAATATCTCTTCGATTGAAGTCGAATATTGTTTTCATGTGCTAAATGCTATGATTAAAGTTTTGCTACCTTTCCATATTTTTGCCTGCCACTTTAATATTGGTCACCGAGTAATTGAAATTAGCAAGAAACCGCGACATTTTTTGAAGCGTGCTTTGACAGATGACAGTAACATGGCTGACGATGGCCGTATCGTCACTTTTACTGACGATGACGATATTCAACATAGGGCGGAATATTTATCAATTAAATAGAAAAAATTTAAAACGCGAAACTATTGCATGAAGTGAAAGGGTGATAATAACCTAACCAAAGGCTTGTGAAATGAACCATTTTCAAAAGAATTGGACCAATGGACCAAACGAAAAGAAATGGACCAAATTTGGTCCATTTGGACCAAAACGGCAACCGTGACGGTACGTAATGAGAGTGAAAGTACAAAAATATTTGAAGAGATAAAAAAAGTCAGTAAGTGAAGAGTTGAAATCAAGCCAGCATAGCAAGGCCTCATATGCTGAGCGTTTAAAAAGCGGAATAGTGAATTATAAAGAGCCGAAAATAAAAAGAGAGAAAACGGTGCTCATAAAACCGAAAGAGAAGCAAGACGAGATTAAAACAAAAGAAGACCTGAATAAGAACGTTGATCCGTCGGATATAAAAATAAGCAATGTGCACGGCAGTGTTGTCACTTCAGAAACCCAATTAGTAGTAGATTATTAATAAAAACAGTGGTAGATCTCCAGAAAAGTATGGTAGAATATTTGTAGTAACGTAAAGATTTGCCAAAAAGGGTATATCAAGACATGAATTAGTATTCAAATGTAGATAAACTGCATTTTCAGTTTTATTCTATGGCACAATTTTTCCGAGATATTGGCCTTGATTTTTATTGCGTTAGACACGACTAGACACGATTAAGAGCGCGTGCTTAAAAGTTGATCACGAAAAAAGAGGCGTAAAAAACTTCAGCGAAGAAAGACTTTTAACGGCGAAGAAAGACTTTTTACGGCGAAGAAAGACCCGTAAACTTATTTTCGTAACAGAAGTGTTGTTGTCGTGATGTTGTCGTGAAAAGCAACTTCACAGACGTATTCTCAGGCGATGTCGAATCTCTAAGAAAATCGCCTCATGTAAGTGCAGATTATCCTTCACGCACGCAATTGAAATTTTGAAATGGCAGCACCTTCAGCTGTTCAACTAACACAAAATTCACAATAAATTTTCTTGACATTTAAACTCATATTGAGGAGAAAATTGACTGTTCAACACTTATGAAAAAAAAACCATTTTTCAAATTAGGTTGCTTAATAATTTTATTTAAAATTGTGGTAGCTTTTTAAAATATGTGGTAGAAAAGAAAAAGGACTCATAATGTGGTAGATCTACCACAATTGTGGTAAAGTGGCAACACTGGGGCACGGTAGGAAAAGTGGTACAATCGTTATTCAAAGTCAAAACGAGTCTGAATGCGATAAAATAAAGGCCGTAATTGCAAATAAAATGAGTGACCGCTATGAAATTAGAGTGCCGAATGCGGCTAAACCCAAGTTTATGGCGTTTGAAGTAAGCTTTAAGTACGAAAACGAGCAACTTTCATAAATGATTAAAAAACAAAATGAATGTTTTAAAAAGTGCTGACTTTAAAATTGTTAAATAAATTGAGGTCAGGAAAGATAAGTCTCGATACTATAATGTGCTCATAGAAACGGACGTTGATACGTTTTCGGCAGTGGTCAAAAGCGACAAAATGAATATTGGATGGGAGAAATGTATAGTCCAAGATGGTATGGGTGTGTCAGTCTGCTAAAAATGTAAGGGCTTCAATCGCATAGCTATGAAGTGCAAGGATGAGGAGGTCTGTCTGAAGTGCTTGGGTAATCATAAAACTATGGGGTGCACAAAGGAGCAAATAAACAAGTGCATCAATTGCATTCATGCAAACCAGACCTGTTAACTTCGGATTACGATTACTAATCAAAACCATTACATCGGTTCGGTAATCGTAATGATTAATTCAATTAGTGTTTATAATCGAGGAATTAGTAATCAATTATAATTACAAATAATCAAAAAACAGTGTCTGCCAAGCGTGCTATGCTATGATCGTGCAACTTCAGCATTGATCCGGTGTACCATGTAAGCCAATAAAAGTCCTTATATGGAAACTCAAGAGCACAGATGAGCGTTTTCAATTATAGGAAGGCCAAGAATCCTCGCTGCCCCACAGGATGAAAAGTTTTCGCGTACATTGGCTAAATGAGTCGCGTGATCTCATGAATATCGTTCAAATGAAGCCATTGATATACCTATCAAGTTCCTTCTTGGACAGATGTGGTCGAATATTTCCTTGTCAATTCGCCACTTTTACAATTCGTCTTAATATTTATGAAATGGTTTCTTTGAGTCTTACTGGTGTAATAACGGCCGCCTCGAGCAACTTCGTCAATCGGAGGTAGATGCAAGATCACGCTTACACAGTGTTACGGTCTTTATATGCATACTTAAATGCATCCTTGATTTAGCCATCTAAAAAGTAAATTCGTCTAAGGTAAACAAACCCCATGGGGTTTCTATATATTTCGGGTGCAGCGTCATCCATTGGGTCGCTTTTCTGCAAAACCTTTGCTTGTCATGAAATGAATACGAATTATGAATTTCAATCAGATTTTATAAAAAATATGGGTTTATTATATACCTAAACTCCAGCGGGTTCATTTTTAGCGAAGGAATTTTCCATCATACAGGTAGCCACGCTGCGAATTTGAACGAAATCTATTAATAAATACGACTTATATAAGTAACTCTACTCCAGCGCCACCTAGCGGGTCCGTTTTTGCAAGTGCTTTTTTCATCATGCTTACGAAATCGGTTCATAAATACGACTTTTATAAATAACTCTACTCCCGCGCTACCTAGCGGGTCTATTTTTGGTAAACGTATTTGCCATCATGCTGGTAGCTTACATTTTGAATTTAAAAGAAATCGGTTCATAAATACGATTTTTATAAATAACTCGACCCCAGCGCCACCTACCGAGTTTTCTGGTAACCTATAATAGGACCATATATGCAAGGTCTAACCTCTGAAAATTTTACCGAAATCTATGCAGTGGTTTTTAAGTTAACTCCGAACAACGAAAACGGCTTTTGTTTTATATATGAGTAGTCCACTTGCAAAGTGCGCTATGTAAAATTGTTTCGATTTTTAGTTTTTGGTGGATTACGTACCAGTATTTAAAGTAGTTTCATGTCCACTAGCAACACAGTGCAAAATCTTTTTATATTCTGAAAAAAGAGCATCAAATGTTAACTCTTCTTCCAAAAGTCGCTATCATACTTACTTATAAACTTTCAAACGTATACATCTTCTGATGAACTTAGAAAACTGCTTGAGGTAGTATAGACTATTAATGTTATCTTGTGTCATGTTATGTTATGTTACAATTTTATAAGGCTCTTATTTATCCAAATTTTCAGGTAATATTAAAGAAGATTCAATTTAAATGTTACTTATTGTCGTAGTCGTTTTTTCAAATTTATGGCTTTCTATTATAAAATTACAAAGCGCTGTTTGCAAGTGGACTACTCATATATAGAAGATACTGTAAAAGTGTTAGGACTCTTGCTTAATTTGTTAAATGGCCCATCAAGTCGATTGGCCGTGTATGTTCTTGTGGTGTGATTGTACAAGCTGCTGGTGCAACTTCAAAACCTATTTGAAAATTTTATGATTTTAACAGCATGCTGGTGTCGTGAGTAGTGAAATTAGCTCAATTTACTAAGTAAAAAGTATTTTGGCGGAAATTTCTTGCACTATATGAGTCAAAGTCGTGTTTGTGGAAGATGTACGCAGACGACGTTAAGTTATTTAAGTTCATTGGTGCTCCAGGAGACAGGGAACAATTACAGGTGGACCTTAGTAATGTGTTTAAATGGTGCGAAGTAATTTCTGTCACTTAAAAAGTGTAAATTTATTTCTCTAGAAAACCCTTTCAATCATATAGCTACCGCATTTGTGAACATAGTGTTGATCAGGTAACTAATTTCATCGATCTAGGCGTAACCATGGACTCTAAGCTTGAATTCAAGTGCCATGTAAACGCTTGTGTTTATAGAGCCAAGGGCGTCTTGGCTTTCATCAAACGTTGGCCGATCTTAGAATACGGGTCCGTCGTATGGAACCCTAGATATCAAACGCACTCTGACAGACTCGAGTCGGTACAGAAACAATTCTTATTATTCGCATTAAATAATTTGCCTTGGGATTCGACATTAAATCTCCCACCGTACAAAAGCCGCTTGAAGCTCATAAATTTGCCAACGCTGCACAGCCGTAGAGAGATGCTCGGGGTTTTGTTCATGATTAAGATCTTGAACGGGATGGTCAATAGTCCCTTTCTACTGAACCAGATCACGTTTTGTATTCCTTCTAGGCCTTCTAGACATTACAAGCCCATTAAGCTAACTATTTGTAAAACAAATTCTGAAATGCATGATGCTTTTCGTTGCCTATGCCAGGACTTTAATAAGCATTACGACTATTTCGACACCTCCGACTCACATTTTACCATTAAGAAAACCTTACTTGAGATTTTGAATAAATAACATGTAAACCCTTACATTGCACCTTATCGTTCAGCTGGTGAACTGTATTTCTGTTCAGTTTATGAGGTAAACGTAAACGTGAATCGCTTTTTTGTAACTAAATAAATTAATATCTTTAACCGGGAACGATAAATTACACAATATCTATGACTGCTTAGTACAATTGTAATCGGCTTCGTATATTTTCGCGACCGCGTAAGACAATACGAGCATGGATCGGAAACTCGGCCTTTCCGACCATGATCAACAGCTTGTCCACAGTGCGGAGCGGAAACTAGAGCTTTCCGCCTGCCACACACTCAAAGTAATGACTTCGGGAACATGGATCGGAAACTCGTTCTTTCCGAACATGTTGAACAGCTTGTCCACAGTGCGGAGCGGAAACTAGAGCTTTCCGCCTGCCACACATTCAAAGTAATGACTTCGGGAACATGGATCGGAAACTCGTTCTTTCCGACCATGATCAACAGCTTGTTCATAGCGCGGAGCGGAAACCAGAGCTTTCCGCCTGCCACACATACAAAGTAATGTCTTCGGGAACATGGATCGGAAACCCGGGGTTACCGACCTTGATCAACAGCCTGCCTGTCCACAGCGCGGAGCGGAAACCAGGTCTTTCCGCCCGCCGCACACAAAAGTAGACTGAAGACTAGGCCTCTCCAGCTACCAAACCTGCTATTTTATGTTATTATTATTATTATTATAAATTAATATGTATAATTATTCTATTCTATAATATATCACAAATACTTAAATATCTAAATGTTCTATTCTCATTTGTCTGTAATAAAACATTTTTCTGTAGACCAAATAAATAAATAAATTAATTAATTAATTAAGTTCACGATATTGCAGTTGTGAATTAAAAAAAAACAATGTTTAACAAAATGGTAGAAAAATTATGAATTTCGGCTCTAATTATTTCGATCTTTCCTCGACCTCATTTGTAAAGAAATAAATGTTGTACCAGCATGCTGGTAAGTTATATGATTCGAGCCTGATGGTACAATCACTTGATGGAGCCAGCAAGTTGGTGTCGTATATTTCCCCTTTTATACAAAAAGATTTTTGGTTGTATAAAATTAATTAATTAATCCCAATGGCTTTTTACCCTCCATTCCCGCCCAACCGACACGAGGGGCGCAGTCCGCATGACGTACGGAACCTTTTTTTTTGTTTTTTTGTTTTTTGGTGCCGAGTAGTGGAAACAGGAGTTGGTTAAGTGTTGAGATCTAAAACTATTCAGCTACAGAATCAAATTCATCAGCCGATTGGATATGCTAAAGATAGTATTTCAATTATTGAGAGTGGAAATGATAGTTTTCTTTATAGTAAAAATCGAGTCCGATATATCAAACGTGCTGGAATGGGAGTTAAAATCTTGACATCAACAATGGAATGATTCGTTTAGTTCAAAATTAGTTTTGCATGGCTTCAAAAACAAAGGTCGAAAGTGTCTTGACACTCGAGAGGGTACATTAAAATTGACCTCAGCCAGATGGGCCGGGCTATTAATCAAGCCTGTCATTAATTTTACGATAAATATTATACCCAGCATTTCTCTACGAGTTGCGAGTGTAGGCAAATTTATGAGCTTTAGACCACTTGTGTAAGGGGTTAAAGTCACGCAACGCAAAAAGCAAGAATTGTTTTTGAATTGATTCAATCCTCTCTGAATGAACTTGGTAGCGGGGATTCCAAACAATAGATCCGTATTCTAGTATAGGTCTAACTAAAGTGGTAAAAAGAGCTTTTGTAACATAAGGATCTTTGAACTCTTTTGACCCTCGCTTTACAAATGCAAAAACGCCGTTGGCTTTATTGACTGTAACATTAATATGATGGTTGAAATTGAGTTTGGAATCCATTGTGATACCAAGATCGACAAAATTGGATACCTGCTCCAGATCAGTGTTGCCACATAACATTTAGTAAAACTAAAACACAGTTAGTACAATAAAAACAAATTAGCTGCGTGTAACAATTCATTTTACTGTACAGGCTTAACAAATGTATGTCTCTTTACACATATATACTATTATTTTTATTATTATTACGTCGGAAGTACTCACGCTGCGACCTAAAAATATATTATTGTGCTAAACGCTAACTGAAATCACTCCAACCTTTATTTAATAAGGTAAGCACTTTGGAGGGCGCCATTTTCCAAATTTTGGAATGAGAAGACAATCGTTCCCCAAGGTGTATCAGTCTGACTTTCCGACATAATATTTATTGTGACCCCATTTTTCCTTCTACGAAGGCATTCGCGAACACATACTTCGGTTGCGAAGACTCCGCCTGGAATATGGTTGGGTACGTGCCCATTGGCAGAATTTTGTGGAATCTTGGTCCAAGTACGCCTGTCGCAGTACTCCTGTCGTCCATCTTCGATTTGTCGGTATACCATACTTGGGACCGTTCGGCAATCATAGTTATTCACAGCAGTTCCGTCTCTCTTTCAATCAGAATAGACAAAGGAGGAATGCCTGTAGTGACACCAAGGGCATTCGTTGGACAGTTACGCGTATTTAGCTCCTGTGATGCCCACGCGGACCAGTCGGTGCAGCTTGCTCAAGGTGGCACCCGCTTTTGCTTGCTTATGCTTTGTATATGAAAGTGACGGTTTTATGGTACGTTAGGGGTATTCTCGAAATCTTGCAAAGCCGTTGCACGTAACACGGATTGCATAATTTGCAAACACACAACAACAAAATACATGGGAAACAACATTTCCTAACGCTGCAAAATATGCAACGTCGAAACCCATGTATATATTTTGCAAAAAAAAAGCATAGCAAGATAAGTGCGACTCTGGGCTAGTTGTTTTGTTGTTGGAATTGCTATATATTTCTCCCATTCCTCTCATTTTGCTCACTTCATTTTTTTGCTGTATCTTGTTATTGTATTTGATACATAATTCCTTGCTTGCTACCAATGCATGATATTATTTTGCAATGGGGGCTCTCGCACTTTTGCAAATTTGAAATAGTATTTTTGCGTTCCATACAATCCGCGCTACGTGCAAGCCTTCGAGAATACCCCTGATGTAATATATGGATTTACATATGCAAATACATATCGCGTAAGAGCGCTGTTAGCTTTTGGCTACCAGGCCAGTGCCGCATATGTATATAACAACGGGTTTTACTACTGTATTTAAAGTCCAATACGTTATATTAGGAGATGTTCCCCAAGTCTTGCCAGGAGGTCTCCGACAGGCATAAAACGCCCTTGTAGCCTTGTTGGTTACATTCGAGAGATTTGAGTTCCAATTGAGCCTTTTATCTATAGTTACCCCTAGATACTTCGCCTCTTCTGAAAACTCAATTTCGGTCCTACCAACGTGGGTCTAGTCAAGTTGACTTTCCTTCTTTTGATAAATGGGACAATGGGGGACTTGGGTTTATTGGCAAGCCTTTTCAGCGCACCAGTCTTGAGTATATATGCATACGTAAGCAGTTTATCACATCTTTGTAGTTCAATTTAAATTAAATAGATAACTTGTAGGCGCATAAATTATATATGGATGTTCATATTGTATATTGGCAATAATAAGGGTATGTGTTTGTACTTACGAATCAGGTATATTTACATGTTTGCGGTCGCCGTTATACGAACGCGCCGGTGAAATATTCGTGTTAACAAGGTTGCTAAACTGTTTGGAGATACATTTTTTCTATTTTTCGCAAATAACTCTTATTGTCGCGGAACCTACCTAGCCTACCAACCTACCAAATGGAAAAAACCTACCGGTTTTGGTAGGAAAAGCCCATGTGTGGCAACACTGCTCCAGATTATAATTTAATATTGAATAAACAGCTGGTTGAACAGCCCTCCGAGAGAAAACATTTACATTTTTGAAGGTTTAGTGGCATATAGTTTGCATTACACCAACTAGCCACGTTGCTCAGATCCGCTTGTAACAAAGACCTTTCTTCGATAGAGGACAATGTTTTAAAAAGTTTCACATCATCGGCATACATTAAAATTTTTGAATGTTTTATTATAGAAGAAATATCATTAATGAATATCAGGAACAGAATCGGACCAAGGTGGCTTCCCTGAGGAACTCCTGAAG